AGAGAGGAGAGAGAGAGAGAGTATATAAAGCTTCAATGTTGTGCAGATCTTACTCTCCAGCTCCAAGGCGGAGAGGCGATTATTCTGTTTCTCCTGAAAGGAGAAGAGGTGGGGACTATCCTCCAGTGCATGACTATGGCCAGAGCCGTGGCCGAAGGTCTCTCTCTCCTCCACAGTATGCCAATGCAAATCGCAGCCCTGCTGGGAATGGCTATGATGAGTGAGTGGCTCCACTTCTGAACCTAGACCAATATTTCTGTTCCTAGGTAGTTAGGAATTACAGGCTCCATGAAAGAAAGGAAGCCATGTTGCATGATGCTATAAGAATCGTTAGAAACCCCTTTTGGATTTGCTAATTTATTTTTTATTCTTACCAATAGCAAAAGAAAAATTGTTTCATGCGGCAGGTACTGCATTTACGGTCCCCTAGGTATAAAGCATCCATCTTAAAGATGGATGCAAATAGGTGGTCCATCTAAACAATTGAAACTAACGGTCGAAATGTTTTCTTAATGGAATTATTATTTTTAATTTTCGAAATTTATTTATTTTAACATATTCATGATCTCCGTGTTAGAGATTACATATCCTTAAAAATTAGGTAGAAAAATTCATCTTAAAAATAGATGTTTTTAGAGGCGACTCATTTCTACATCGACTCATAGAAACCGTGTCCATAGAAAAGGGCCCCAAACTGTGATTACTTTGCTAAAATTGTGGTTGTGAGATAGATAGCCTTCTATTTGTTAAATGAAGAGGGGCATTTGCAGGAGAAATGCATATGATGAGGCTGAAGAGGAACGCCGTTTCCCAAGATCTTCAAGAGGCATTTCAAGGTCACCATCAGGCTCTCGCTCAAGATCTGCAGACTTGTCTCCAAGGCGTGGGAGGCCGTGAGGTAGCAACACTTCTTCCGCCTGCTCTTTTTGCTGATTCCCTTTCACTTTAGCTTTTGGATGTTGCTAAAGCTTATTATGTTTGATGTTCATTGTGCAGGCAACAGTAAAATGGTCGGAGTGATATTTCATCTACAGGAATGTAAATTGATAGAAATCTTTTGAATGCTAGTGATTTTAGTGTTTTAAGGAGTGTTACATGCAACAATCCTTAATTTTATTCCCTCTTCTGACTGGTAGACTCAGTTTGTTTCTTGTTAGCTATCAGTGGATTTGTCTTTGCGGTATGGCTTGATAGACCTGAGGCCCTCATGTGACAAAAATGGCATACAATTCCTTTGGATGGGGTGCTCCAGATGATCTTTATTTGGATGATTAGTGTGTTTAGTGTCATGCATATGCATGCATTATTGAAGAACATAAATGATTTTAGAATATTCATTGTGCACCTAAATTTGAATGGGTGTGCGTAAATGTCGGTTACCTGGAAAAGATGAAGGAAAAGAAATTCAAAATGAGTGGTTGTTAGAGTGCCACGGACTGGACCCATAGTTGAAAAAAAAAACCCCTTTGTGATACATCTTAAGCCAATGTAATTTAGCTCCTAATGACTAGGACTGATTGAGATCTCCTTGTAACAACAATAAGCAGTTTCATAATATGCTTACCAATAATACTTCAAGTTTCCTTAGTTACAAGTGGGTATCCGACCGGTTGACCTTACCATGTCTTGGTCTAGATCCCGACAATGAATCTGATGGGTTATCCATTGGACCATGATTTGATTTGGTTAGATTTTATTTGAAAGTTGGATTATGTAATAAAGTATGGTGTATAAATATTTTAAAATTTTCTTTTTTTATACCGGCATGATCATTTATAACGTCAAATTACAAATAAATCATTCTTAAAATAAGTAGACAACCATTTTCACTTGTTACCTGTTAAATGCACCTAAGATAAAAACAAGTAAAGTTTTTGGAGACTATTTCATTTGGGTTGGTACAACTTACGTCGAGTCAAAGTTGTTGGAGAGTATCTTAATTTAGGATAGCATGCCTCACATGGTGTTTCCTCATTCCAATGGTGTTATGGGCTGGTACGTTCCATGTTCAGTTTTCTCTTTCAATTGGTGCTTGTGATTAATGATCATATTTTTATTTTTACAAAATTCTATCAAAAGCATATGGATTTCGATCTAGAATTAAATTGTTAGGGCCTCAATATTTAGTCTTCTTCAAACCCTTTTGTCTTGATCTTATAGAGATGAGAGAGAAATGTTTTAGGCGGGATGTGTCCCCATTTCTACTCTTCTTATAAGAGAGAAACTAATCAAAAGAGAGAGAATTCTCATAGTGGGGTGTACTCCCTTTTCAAGCCACTAAAGGGGGAGAATCCTTAAGAGAGAGAAAGAGAGTTTAGAGGGAGAGAGAAAGAGAGAGCTCTTAGAGAGAAGAGAAAAGAGTTGAAGAGAATTACGAAGGAAAGAGCCTCTATTATAGATTTTTTTCGGTTTTGAGCCATTCGTTCTTTAGGTTTACCATGAAGATTCAAATGAAGGTACAATATAACTTTATCTTTCATTTCTTAAACTTATTCTCACAAAATATTTAAATAAAAAAAATATTATTTATACTTTATGTAAAATATGATTAATAATTTAGACAACTTTTTATAGCTTTCTTGATTTAATGCCTTAATGTAAAATTTGATTAATAAGTAACTCTTATCTAAATTTGATATGGTCAACTTCAAACAGTAGATCCAATTATTAAAAAGTAAAAAGTAGAAAGGGACGAAGGAGTCATGACCAAAAGTAAAAGAAAAATAAAAAGAAAAAAAACAGTGCGAGGCATAGATGTTTGTTCTTCGTAATGTACTAACGGATACAATGGAAATCCAAATCATTTTTATTTTTGTGGGATTGGTCATTGGGAAGGTCCCTTGTGGTAGGAATGAAATTTAGGACATCATATTGTGGTGAAAATGTAAACTATTGTTGACTATGTGACCAGGGAGTGTTTCAAGACTAGGCCCTTGGTTGAGTAACTTAGCCTCGGCCTATGGTCGACGCGAGTTCCAAGAGCCAACTTGCTCATGTTTAAAATTATTAAAAAATCCTAATTATTGTTATAAAATCTTAAATGCATTATTCAGAAATGTATTTCGTTATGTTTTATAGTTCTTGTGATGATTTTGAAAGTTTTGTCATTTGATGTTCAATATTTTTATTTAAAAGCTACTAATTGTTGTTCAAAACTAGAAAGGGATGAAAGTACAATGAGCAAAACTAAAAATAAATAGAAAAAGAAAAGTGCAAGGCATAGATGATTGTCCTTCATAATGTACTAATGGATACATTGGAAATCCAAATCTTTTTTTTTTTTTTTTTTGGGGCTACCATAGTAGGAATAGAATTTAGGACATGTAATCCATTGTTGACTATGTGACCAGGCAGTATTTCAAGACTTGGCCCTTGGCTGAGTAACTTGGCCACGGCCCATGGCCGAGGCGAGTACCAAGGGCCAACTTGCCCGTGTTTAAAATTATTAAAAAAATCCTAATTATTGCTAAAGAATCTTAAATACAAGATTCATAAATGTATTTTGTTATGATTTATATAGTTCTTGTATATGAGCGAGAGCTTTGGAAGTCTTACAAGTTCAAAATTTCTCCATATATCACAAAACATCAATTTGACAAGGCTTTCATCTACTTTCTCATTGAATGCTAGCAATTGTAACCTGAAGGGGATGATCTCCGATGACTTTGAAGAGTTATCTTCATTGAAAACTCTGGATCTCAGCAAAACCAATCTCCGGAGCTTGCCCAGAAGCATTAGGGGCCTTTCTCAATTAGAAAGTCTGACCATAAACTATTGCAAGCACCTGGTGGTTATCCCTGAGCTCCCCAACAGTATGAAACTTTTGGATGCTTCCGGATGCAAACATTTGCAAACCTTGCCCAAGCTATCTCACATATATAAACTAGCAAAGCTGCTTATATGTGAGTGTGAGCATTTGATAGCTATCCCTGACCTCCCCACCAGTCTGGAATATCTAGACCCTTGGGAATGCAGAAGTTTACCAACCATGCCCAAGCTATCTCACCTTTTTAAACTTCAAAGGTTGGATGTTTCAGATTGTATGTTGCTGTTAACTATCCCGGATCTTCCTGCCACTTTGAAAACTCTATATGCTTCCAACTGTACGTCTTTGCAAAACATACCCAACCTCTCTCAACTTGCAAAACATACCCAACCTCTCTCAACTTGAAGTATTGGATCTTCTAAATTGTAAAAGGCTGATTGAGATACAAAGTCTCAGTGGTTTGAAATCCTTGAGAGCTTTGCATTTGAATGGGTGCAGCCCTCGCATTTTGCACTTGATTCAGCGAGGCCCTCACCAAACAATATGCGTATTTGATTCCCCAGCTGCAAGAAGCAACCCAATTTATGATGCATTCGAGCTGCAGTGGCTGATTCAAACACGAGGGCAGAAGCAATTAAGCCTTGAAGCTTCTGGCAAGTATCTCCAGAAGATCCTTGGTAAGCAGCAGATGTTCAGTGACACCTTCAATACTAGCAAAGCTTCAGATGAGTTGGTTCCCCATGCTTCTGTGACCGGAACCTCAACCCAACCATTTGTTAAGGATCTCCCTAAAAAAGAGAAGGTTGGTGTTGAGCTCTGGGATAATGATAGCAATACTAGTAAGACCAGTCATGGTGGTTCATTGGCCAATGAAGAAGAAGAGCATCAACAACACGTAGTGGCAAAAATATGATGAAAATCTCTATTTTCTCATAGTGAAAAAAATAGTGAGCCAAATCCTGATGTCCTGAGGCTGTTATTGGTTGGAAGGAAGGGGTTGGGGATTTAAATAGATAGGTTTTGAAGCTTGGTGAAGCGATTCTGGATTAAAGGCAAGGGAAGCTGTGTAGGGCAGAGAGAGAGGTTTCAGGGGAATCTGCCAATGTAGGTCAAGAACTCAGAGAAATGAGGAAAGTACCACCTTTGAGGATCTAATACACACAAAGGAAAGGCAGCGGGGAAACTCTCCGTCTCTCTCTCTCTCTCTCTCACGCACACACTCTCTCTAGAACAACATTTTTTCCAACTCCTCAAAGGGTGTATTAGAGATTCGAAAATCCAAACTCTGGTGGAATGAAATGGGAAAATTTGTATTCATTTGGTTTGTTTGATTACAAGAGAGAACCTCTTTCTATTAATGTAAGGTCCAAACAAGGCAACCATATCTTGTAGATCTATATTCCATGCAATGTTGAGGGAGTGAGTTTACTCTTTTCTGATAGATGAAGACCCTCATCTTCAAGCCCTTCTCTAATATAGTCTATGAATTTGATATATGATTGCCTCAATTTTCCAAGATGGTTCCCATTTGTGTTTTGTTTCCATTCTTTTATGGCGAATTTGATTGATTACATGGTTGGCTTCAATGCCCCCATGGAAGCTGCGACTAGCCATCTTTTTTCTGCTATTTTGGCAGTCACAGCTTCCAAAACAGTGCATCACTTCCCACTTTCAAACCCATGAAGTGCTACAATTTCATAGAGGTGCAATTTCGATAAGCCACGTCTTCCTAAAGCTGCCAATTCTCCAAAATAGGTCGTTTCGACATTGTTTTGGAAGTTGCTGGAAGCCGTGATTTCTAATGCGTTGTTGCATTCCCATGGCTTCCAAAACATTGTACTTCCATAAACAAATGCAGGATGCACTGCAGTGATGGAAGCTATGGCTTCCAGTAAACAAACACCTTTAGAGATTTTTCTTGTGAGTAGTCCAATTCAAATCTGAATGGAGAAGGCCCAATCATTCCAAGAGATCTCATTGTATACATTTCCTATAGATATAATTAAAAAAAATAACTCAACGGGCACGAGGTAATTTGGCACCATTGAAAAGATCATGGGAACCTGATGCTCTTTGCTACCAATATAACAAGTATATTGACAGAGGATCGCTTTTCGCTTTCCTCATGTTGATCTTGCCTAAGCTTGAAGTATGTAGAGGGTATTTATTTAAAGCAGAAAGTTTCCGTGCACCCGCCATGCATTTTATTCTTCCTCCCCAATATTCATATTCGAGATGGATTTTAGATCTAAACTATCTCCTGGATTCTCCACAAACCAATCAGTTCGATCAGAGCAGCCCTTATTTTTTAATCTTAAGATTCAAATTGATGGATCCAATGCAAAAATATATATTTGGTAATATTGCAGTACTTTAAATCAGTACACTGATTTGAAACCTGCCCGAGTAGAACCAGAACCAACAAGTAGCTGTTCCAATTTTATCCCTTTAAGTCAGAACTCAGCCAAATAGACCAAAAAATGGTATTAAAAAGTGATTCCTATTATTAAACCATTGTTACAGGAATAATTTTAAGGTTCCTAAATTTTATTTAAATATTTTAAACTTTATATATTTTGTTTCAAAGTTGGCTGAGTCCAAAATACTGCTCTTTACCAAACCCATCCAAGACTAGGCCACAATAACCATTTCCTCATTTAAATTAATTAGAATGATTCCTAACTTCCTGATATTATTCGGCAGATACCTTCGGGGTCTAACTTGACTGACTATTATATATGCAACTTATTCCCTCCCTCCCTATCTAATTCAAGGTCGCATTTTTATTGTTTGGAAATCTCCTTGAAACTTCAACTGCACGGCTCAGAAATACCAGAAAATGAAGTCAGATTTTTTAAGGATCAACACGTAATATATACACTAATGTGAACAAGTTTGGCTTAACAAGGAGGCAGAATTTATAGATTTTCAGTTTCTAGTTAAAATAACTCTCAACCTTCAAACTCTCGATTTCTTCTATTTTGCCTTTTGATCTAACAAGTTATTATAAGGATGTGTTAGAAGTATTGTAAACTAACAATTTAAAATAATTTGTGAATGATTTGTTTGATAAATGAGATAGAGATTGCAAGAAAGGTGGATCAGATTGCAAGGCTCAAATAGTATCTAGAATTTGATGAAAGAATAAGTTATGAGATAAAAAATGATATGAAAATAAAATTTTAGAGCTAAGAAGGATAGATTTGCGTTAAAATGAATGAACTGAAGATTTAAATTAGAGCTTCTTTTATGATTTCCTTTTTTTTTTTTTGGGGGAAAGAGTTTATATGAGGTATCAAACTTATATAATAGAATTATGGTGCCGTCTGAACCCCAGTTAAAGGTCATGACCTCCATTCTCACTAACCGATTCAAAAACTAAAAAAATTGATAGTTTTAAAAAATGGGTAAAGGTCCATCATCCCCATTGACTTACAAAAAAAAGAAAAGAAAAGGTGTGCCTCAAAAACCCATTGAAAAATGTTATTTTGGTGCTATAAAATCCTCTAATTGATCATCTCGACCTCAAGATATTTAGATATGAAAAAAAAAGAATTCAAATTTTAAAGGTATCATATCTTATAACACATTATTTGGACTGCCTATTTTCATGATTTTCAAGTGTTTACCGATCTGCTGGATCTACATCAATTTTGGAGTTTTAAATTATCATAAATAGAGAAAAATAAATTTTTGGGCCTCCTAATAATATATGATACAAAACTCGTATCGTTGGACCCAGCATAGAGGGGTGCCTTACTTTAATTGTTGTTGAAGGCTGACGCCTTGTGCAACCCACACAACTTGGCGAACTAGATCTATCAAACGACTCACCTTGGTTCGGTCAAGAATCGGTCTAGGATCCACATGCCCAAAACCAATTTTGGTGAATCCGAGTCCAGGTCCTAAGGCAATCCTGGGGATTCGGTAAAAAGGGTATGTTACCATCTCCTCCATTTGCTTGCCATGCCAAAGGAATCAAAGGATCATTTGATGTGGATAATGCTAAAAGACACAGAGAGAGAAAGAGTGTCACTTGATAACAGGGTGAGGTTTGCATATGGTGTCCACCTTATACTATACAAGTAAGGCGTAGTACCTTTAAATTTTGCTGGAAGATGTAATATCCAGAACATTAAGATGGTTTCAAAATTCATATTCCGCCTTAATTATAAAATTTAAAATTTTAAAAAATGGTGCAGATCAATGAGATCTATAAGCACTTGAAAATTTTGAAAATAGACCACCCAGAAAACTTATTACAAGATCCACTATTTCGTGGACTTGAAATTCTTTTTTTTCTCTATTTACATCTTGAGGTCGAAATGATCAATTAAAAGTTCTCCAACTCAATGTTAGAAAAACCAAGCGATCTAACTGGTAACTGCCTGGTTAGATTGGAACCGGCCCCTTGCCGGTTCCAATTTCATGCGGTTTTCGTGATCAACCGGTATTTTTTAAAAAATAAAATAAAATAAATGTAAATAAAATCCCAAAAATAAAAAATTTGGTTTGTAATACATATTTTAATATTCTTTACATTATGACAAATATTAAAAATCGTTTTGGTCATTGATACTCACTTTTATATCTTCCCATCTTTCTTGAAGATTTTTAAAAATACCCTTAGACACGAATCGATTATTTAAAATCCATTTTCTCCATTAATTTTCAACTTCATTTGAATGTATTTTGTTTTAATCACTCTTTATATGCATTTTATATTATAGTAGATTTTTTTTGTATCTTTTTTATTTTTTTCAAAAAATTTTTACCATCCAGGACTTACCCGGTTAGAAAGGCTAAATTAGCTAGTTTACCGGTTAGACCGGTTAAACAGCTTCTGGCCCAATATCTGGTTAACCGTTTCGATTCGATTTTACGAACACTGCTCCAACTTCACAATACTCTTTTCTATTTTGAGATCCACCGTATTTCTATAGCATAAAGTTGCAACCTTACGTCAACTTTCTCCTTTGATAAACTTTTCTTATTTAAATTAATTAGAATTATTCCTAACTTCCTTATCTTGCGCAGGTAGCCAGTTGCATGTCCCCCCATAACCCTTCTCAAACTCGTATTATTTTAATGGTGAGCAAGAAATCTGTTGGAAGCAACAATGGAGGCAACCCGAATCTCTCCCTCAACATATATGCACGTTGAGGTAAGGCAAACGCCTCCAAGTCCTGCCATTAACTGGAAAACACTGTAAAATACCAGTACGGCTTGCCTCACCAGCCAGAGAGGAGAGAAATAAAACCAGAATCAAATCTATGGCAGTGTTCCTGAACTTCTGTGATGAAGACACGGGGAAGAGCTTCACATCCCATCTCAACAAAGCTCTCGCTAATTCCAGCATCTCCACCTTCTTCTTCTCACCTACACAACCACCCAGTGATATACAGGGATCGATGGAAGAGTGCAAGGCGTTTATAATCATAGTTTCCCCCAACTATGCTTTCTCTTTCTTCTGCCTTGACCAGTTCTCTTATATACTGAGTGTGCAATGGAGGAGGCCAATCCTTCCTGTGTTTTATAATGTTGAGCCTCTGCATGTCCACTGGCAAAAGGGGCCTTTCGAGGGAGCTTGAGAGGATCACAAAACTAAGAATCAGTTTGATGAGGAGACGATCCAGAGGTGGAGAGATGATTTAAAACAAGTTGCCCATCTTTCGGGTTTCGATATGAAGAATTACGGGTATAACCAATTATATATGGTTTCTTCAAAAATAATCTCTTTCATTTCTCTCTCTCCCACACAACCAGAAGGTTGCGATGAGGAACTCAAGAGAAAACAAGTATAAAGTCTGGAACCACTTGTATAGTTGTGTTACCATTTTCAAGTCCTGCAATGATAGTTAAAATTTATTTGGTTTTTATCTTTTGATATCCCATAGAAAGAATTCATGGGACAAAGTTTTTTAATTTGTAGCTTTGATTACTTTTATAGATCTATGAGGTGGTGCTTAAATATATCCATCTTATTACCCTGGGGCATCACGTCTGTCGCATCACTCATATTTTGCCCACTTATCAGAAAAGAAATGTTTAATTTATTATTATTATAATTATTGCCTAATGAGGAAGGATTTTCTACAAGAGCAAAGCAAAATTGCTAGAGGAACTTGTTAAGTGAATTTCTGCCAAGTAGGAGTACAAAACACCAATTCATGTCGCTAAGCATCCTATTGGGCTTGATTCTCGGATCGATGACGTGATGACACTCTTAGATGTTAGTGCGGATGGTGCTCGGATGATTGGGATCCATGGCATGGGTGGCATTGGTAAGAGCACTCTTGCCAAGGCAGTGTTCAACAATATACGTTTCAATTTTGACCCCAGTTGTTTCCTCTCAAATGTTAGAGAAAAGTCGCAAACAAATGCTGGTCTTGTCAGTTTGCAAAAACAACTTCTCAAAGAATTGTTTTGTGAATAGATCCAGATATATATGATGTGGATATAGGCATCAATCTTATCAAGAGAAAGATTGGGTCTAAGGATGTTCCCGTTGTAATTGATGATGTTGATCACTACAGGCAGCTCGCAAAATTGGCTGGTAACATTGATTGGTATTGTAAACAGAGTAGGATCATCATCACTACCAGGGACGAGCATGTGTTAAATGTGTGTAACAGAGTGCAACACCATCATATCTACAAGACTAAGGCATTAGATGATGCACAATCTCTCGAACGCTTCAGCTGGTGGGCATTTGGGAGGGATCAACCAATGCAAGAATATGCGCAGCTCTCTAAGGATGTGGTATCCACTGCTGGGGGGCTTCCCCTGGCTCTCGAAATTTTGGGAAATTACATATGCGACAAGACAACTATTGAAGAGTGGGAAGTTGCAGTAGCAAAGTTCAAAATAATTCCTGAAAATGATGTTATGCAAAAGCTTCAAATAAGTTATGATGATTTGGACCAAATAGAGAACCAAATATTTCTTGAACTTGCAGGCTTCTTCACTGGATAGAACATGGATTATGCAATCGATATATGGAAAGGTTGTGGTTTCAATGCTTTAAACTCCATAGAAAGACTCCTGCAAAGGTCACTAATAAAGATTGATGATGAGGATAATTTGTGGATGCATGACCAACTTTGTCAAATGGGTAGATGGTTTGTTGAACTAGAAAATCTCGATGATCCTGGAAGGCGTAGTAGGTTGTGGTCTCAAGATCAGGTCATTGATGTGTTGAGGAATCACAAGGTGAGGAATTCCTAAGGAAGTTTGTTTTTTCTCTTGCTCGATCAAACTTGCAATGAATTTATATGTTTGGTATGGATTTAACTCTAGTTCATCGAAGATGATATGGTTATGTATATTTATTTCATTTTAACATCTTGCTACTTGTTTGACATTTACTTTTACTATCAATTAGGGGAGTAGTAAGGTCCGAGGCCTAATCCCCAAGGGAAAGAAACATGAGCATAATTGGGAAACTGAAGCATTTAGACCAATGACCAATCTGAAGCTACTCAGCATCCGTGATGCATATCTTAATGGAAGGTTCAAATCTCTCTTATCAGAATTAGTGTGGCTAAAATGGCAAGGATGTCCTTTGCAGTGCCTCCCATATGATTTTAGCGATGAAAAGCTTGTTGTCCTTGACTTGTCAAACAGCAAGGCTATCCAGGACTTGTTAAGGAGCGATATCAAGCAGGTGTGGTGTTTAACTTTAATTTAACATTCTCGTGTCAATTCCTCTTCTTTTTTTCTTATTCTGTTTTTTCTTTTTCCTTTTTCCTATTTTTTATCATGGTTGTAATCCTCACTATTAATCAATATTTTTTGGACAGCCCATCCAAAAGTTGAAGGTTCTTGATCTCAGTTATTGTGAGAAATTAGAAAGGATTCCCAACTGTTCTCTACACCCAAAACTGAAGAAGTTGAAACTCCGTGGTTGCTCCAAGTTGGTTGAGATTCCTATCTCCATAGGCTTACTAGGGAAATTAGTTTTTCTGGATCTTAAAGGATACTCCACCATCAAGGAACTACCAAGTAGTATTTCAGGAGCAATCTCTTCAAAAGCTTGATATTTCAGGGTGTTACGAAATTAACAAACTGCCGGAGCAGTTGGGTTCTATAGGGAAATTAGTTTATTAGGGTCTTGGAGCTTGCTCCGCCCTCAAGGAACTGCCAAGCAGCATTTCAAGATTGCATTCTCTTGAAAAGCTTATCCTATATAGTTGCCACAAACTTAAAAAGCTACCTGAGCAGTTGGGTTCCATGCATGCTTTAATGGAGCTTGATAGGAGCCATAGTGGCATAGCACAACTACCTGATTCGATTGGGAATTTAACCAACTTGAGAAAGCTTTACATGAGAAATACAATGGTAAGAGAACCGCCACATTCACTAGGTGCATTAGTGAACCTTGAGGTGTTGATTGTGTCTCAGTGCAAGGTACTCAGTAAATTCCCAGCATCAATGGAAAGGATGACATCACTACATTTGTTAAACATGGAGAAAACTGCTGTAGCCACATTGCCTAATGAATTTGGATATCTTTCTAACTTGGAATCATTGTATATGAGCGAGTGTGAACAGTTAAAGGAGTTCCGAGAAAGCTTTGGAAGTCGTACAAGTTCAGAATTTCTCCATATACCACACAACATCAATTTGACAACGCTTTCATCTACTTCCTCATTGAATGCAAGTAATTGTAACCTGAAAGGGATGATTTCCGATGACTTTGAAGAGTTATCCTCATTGAAAACTCTGGATCTCAGCAAAACTAATTTCCAGGGCTTGCTCAGAAGCATTAGGGGCCTTTCACAATTAGAAAGTCCGACCATAAAAAATTGCAAGCAACTGGTGGCTATCCCTGAGCTCCCCAACAGTCCAAAGCATTTGGATGCTTCCGGATGCAAAAGTTTGCAAACCTTGCCCAAGCTATCTCACATTTCTAAATTAGCAAAGCTGCTTATATGTGAGTGTAGGCGGTTGGAAGATATCCCTGACCTCCACACCAGTCTGGAATATCTAGACCCTCGGGGATGCCAATGTTTGCTAATTGTGCCCAAGCCATCTCACCTTTCTAAACTTGAAAGGTTGGATTTTTCAGACTGTAAGAGGTTGTTTACTATCTCCGATCTTCCTGCCACTTTGAAAACTTTGTATGCTTCCAATTGTAACTCGTTGCAAAATATACCCAACCTCTCTCATCTCTCCCAACTTGAAGTACTGGATCTCACAACTTGTACAAGGCTGACTGAGATACAAGGTCTCAGTGGTTTGAAATCTTTGAGAGCCTTGCATTTGAGTGGGTGCAGCCCTCACATTTTGCAGTTGATTCGACAGAGCCCTCACCAGGCAAAATACCTATTTGATTCGCCAGCTGATAGTGAACATGAAGAAACAACCCAAATTAGGATGAAATTGGAGGGGCAGTGGCTGATGCAGACACGAGGGCAGAAGCAATTAAGCCTTGAAGCTTCTGGCAAGTATCTCCAGAAGATCATCACAAAGCAGCAAATGTTCAGTGGAGCGTTCAATACTGGTGAAGCTTCAGATGAGTTGGTTCCCCATGCTTCTGTGACCAGAACCTCAAAACCACCCATTTGTGAAGGCTCTCCCTTTAAGAAAGAGAAGGTTGTTCTTGAGCTCTGGGATAATGATAGCAATACTAGTAAGACCAATCACGTTGGTTCAATGGCCAATGAAGAAGAAGAACATCATCAACACATAATGACAGAAATAGCAAACCAAGTCGAATTTATAACACTGTGGGATTACTTGGAAAATGTAAGAGATAAGGGGTGGAAGCTTGGTGAAGCGATTCTGGATCAGACACAAGGGAAGCTGGGCTAGGGCAGAGAGAGAGATTTCAGGGAAATCTGGCAATGCACGTCAAGAACTTAGAGAAATGAGGAAAGCACCACCTTCTTTGAGCGTCTGATACACACACAAAGCAAAGGCAGAAGGGAAACTCACACACACACATACTCTCTCTTTAGAACAATATTTTTTCCAACTCCTCAAAGGGTGTATCAGAGATTCCAAAATCCAAACTATGGTGGAATGAATGGGAAAATTTGTATTCATTTGGTTTGTTTGGTTTCTTTGAGTACAAGAGAGAACCTCTATCTATTGATGTAAGGTCCAAACCACATCTTATATATCTATATTCAATGCAATGTTGAGGGAGTGAGTTTACTCCCTCCTGATAGATGAAGACCCTCATCTTTAAGCCTTCTCTATAAAGACTCTCAATTTGATTTATGACTGCCTCAATTTTCCCAGATGGTTCCCATTTGTGTTATGTTTCCATTCCTTTATGGAAAATTTAATAGATTACATGGTTGGCTTCAATGCCCCCATGAGCAAGCTGCCAGTATTTCTGCTATTTTGGCAGTCGCAGCTTCCAAAACAGTGTACCACTTCCCACCTTCAAACACATGAAGTGCTACAATGTCATGGCAGTGCATTTGATTTTGGTAAGCCATATCTTCATAAAGCTGTAGCACTTCTATGTATTAGTATGGACGCTGCGAATTCTCCATTTTGGAAATTGCTGGAAGCCGTGACTTCTAAAGCATTGTTGCACCCCCATGGCTTCCAAAACATTGTACTTCCGTAAATAAATGCAAGAAGCACTGCAGTGATGGAAGATACGACTTCTAGTAAACAAACACCCTCTTAGAGTTTGTTCTTGTGAGTAGTCCAATTCAAATCTGAATGGAGAAGGCCCAATCATTCCAAATAATTTCAATGAGGTATCATTGTATACATGTCCTAAATATTTATAGGGCAGTGATTTCATGCAACGGTTGTACAGTAATATGATGCAACAACTTACAAAAACTATGTTAAAGCTATTGTTTGATCCAAATTTTAAAATATACACAATTGTCATTCTAATGAACACTCATAAAAAAGAAAATTTTGAAAACGCTAACTAGAAAGTATTTTTTTAGCTCAATTAACATAGATTGGCCATTTTGGTGAGATGCTTAGATCTAGGCCTTAGAATGATCTGTTTTCTTTCCAAATTTTTTAGATAATTTTATTATCATTAAATTAACAATATTAAAAAAGGAAAAAATGATTTTGAATTCATAAAGGCCTAGATTTTGAAATGCATAAAATGGATGATCTAGATTCATTGTTGGAGGAGACTCATTTTGACCATATATAGGGTTGCAAATTAGTTTTTTTTTTTTTAGATTGAATATTGAGATGATGAAAGTGTTGAAAATTTTGGGTCACACAAATACCACAAACATGGTTTTCTAGAAGTATGGTTGCATTGTATCGTTGCATGAAATCGGTGCCTATATATATATGAGTTTGTCTAGAGTTAACAGCTCCTCAAAATACAAAGGTTCAAGTTAGAAGGGGTTGTGATGGGCGTATTTATCAAAACAATCATTACTTTTTCATTAAAAAATTATTTAAATAGGTAAATTTACCATTAACCAAAGGCAAATTTGAAATTTTCACAAAAGTACAATGACATTCTGGAAGTTAGTGTCCTGAAACTTCATTTGTAGAGTGCCCTTGTCCTTTAGTTAAAATTTCAATTTTACCCCTTATAGAGATGACAAAAATACTCTTTGTCTTTTAGTACCCCACAAAAGTAACTTTTTTTAAAAAATAGACAACAAAAATAAAAAATCCAACATTCACAACTCTCTCTATCTTGAACCTTTGTAATTTGAAGGGTTGAGAAGTTTAGAATATCCCCTATATATATATATATATATATATATATATATATATATAACTACTAGTAGTAGTAGTAGTAGTAGTCGTACTACGTTAGTTAAGTAAAGTACTAGTAGTAGGTAACTAGTAGTAGTCGTCTTCTTACGTTCCTTACCGTAAGTAAAGTAAA